GCTTTGCTACTGCCCGAAGCCATACTTTGCGTTAAGATTAATTCACTTTAAGAGTTCGAATGAAAGGTGCGTAGATATGAACTCTGACAGGGGAAACAAGTCTTAAAATGAGAAATTAATTAGCCAATCATGTGATTGACCAATTAGGGTTGGTAATTAATCAGGTATGGTCATTCTAATTGGTAGACCAATCACTGATAACTGCATAATATGAAATGGGAGGGGCTAAATTAGAAGAAAAAACGAACACTTTCTATTTTTTTTTATTATATTATTTATTTACGTTTTTGAAATAAATGATAATCCTAAAAATTAAAAAAAATAGCTGAAACCTTTTATTTCAAATGTTTTAATTTGATAGTGGTCTACATTGTATGTGTTGTCGACAGTCAGAAATACACAGTATTGTACATATCGATGATTTTATAAAAAAAAAAAGATAGAATTAAAGTTACGTTTATATAATTAAGGCTGGTTAGTATCTGTAGAAAGTTGCGAAAAACGTACTAGGTAATTGAAAAATAAAAAAAATAGAATTTAGTTTTGACGAATATATATAAAATTAAAATTTAGTTCCCAAGAGTTTTTAGATTACTGTTAAACAGTTATAATTGCCAATTTTTACCTCAATTGCGTAGTAGTACAAAATAATGTACACTACAGCTGAAATTGAAAAGGAAGATATACTGATGTGGGTAGAGAATTACTCGAAGGCAGTGGGTTGAAAACGAATATCACTTTGTATTAGTATGCCCTTGCCTATAGATGAATTTGGTCGTAGCATTTGTCGAAATTGAATTGTCCCTATATTACAGTATTTATTTAAGTTAACGTCTGATTAACTTTTAAAACAAACACATTCATTATTTTAAAGAAATTGTGTAATTACATAAAATTCGCATGGTCATTCAGATCTCATATTGTTACTCGAACTGATTTGTTTTCTTTTTATGTCTTTTTGTATTGCTCTCTACTTTTTATCATTTGTCATGTTGTAAAAGTTCGTTGCTTAAGCATAATGCTTTCTCCAATAACTCAAAAATATTTTGTAAACATTCCTATTATTGGTGCATACAATATTATTTCATTATTATTAGTATATGTATGTATCCTACAAGCTGTATTGCTTTTGGAATAAAGTATTATTAATGTTAAAAAATATATCATTCACTACCACTCCCCTACTAAAGAGTTATGAAACAAGGTTAAAACACCGTCTCCACTCAACACCCTTGAGACCTATACGGTCTCTTAAAATACAGCAAATATACATTTCTTATGTTACTTTATATTAATAAGAAATTTCCGACACTTTTCCCAACATGCACTACACTATATTCTTTTTGTCAAATTTTCTTACTGATAAATAGATATATAAAAAGACGTGACATGAGTGCCAATGAGACAACTCTCCATCCAAGTCACAATTTGTATATAAAGTTTTTAAGTTTTTTATTATATATGTCTTTATTCTCATAAAGCCAATGCATGACATAAGTACAGAGATAACAACAATAACTATTACAATATATACAAAACAAGGAGAGAGGTTACAAAAGTCACTAGCCAGGAGGACAAACAAAAGAATTAATATTTTTAATAAATGAACAAAGCTTCTTCAGGACTGGTTTTCGTGTATTCGACATCAGTTGTCGTTGCACAAAATAGGAGGATAAATACTTTATACGTTTTTGATCGGAAAAAAGTACATTCAAATATATAGTGATATTCGTCTCCAAATGGTTGATTATTATATTGATGGCAAACACGGTTTTCTCTTAATACGTTTTGCCACCTTCCTGTTTCAATCGGCAATGCCAATTTGTTATTAGTCGTTCGAAATAGACAAAGAACAACGGTATCTTTCAAGTCCAAAATATTGAAATATTCCTCAAATTCCCACTATATTTTTGTAGTTAATAGCTTTAAATGAATTATGGATAAGCGAATTCCAATTCTGACGAAACTGGTTTAACAATCTTTGCTTTATAACAGCTTTTAACCAATCTTTATTTATGAAATTTTGTGTTTCCCTTATATATAACAAACCACAATCTTGAAATATTTTTTTGACAAATATAATCCATTTAGTCTGCATGTTATAATGAGCATTCATATGGCGAGAAAGTTGATACAATATAAAGGAAAACTTTTCTTGTTTGCCGGATATCAAATTTGCCCAAAATTATACTGCTCGAACTTTTATATCTATGTTTGATCGGATGGCGACCTAGTTCCCCGTAAACCATATAAATTTGGGTTTGAGGATTTCAGATTTAAAAGTAATTTTCAGAATTTTAAATGTATCTTTTCTAATATCTCATCATTACTAAAACCTCATACTTCGCACCCATGGGCTTGATAATGTTGTAAAAAAAATCAAGCTGACATTTTACAGAAAGCTGATACATCCTTCCCATTTTCAGGACTTCGTACATGGCTTTTAAGGCCTTATCGGATAAATGTTTTTTTGGTTTTTTTTTGTCATATTATAATTCCCTGTTTTAGTAAAAACAATTCCAAAATAGTTAAACTGCTTTACTATCTCAATGTAAAAGTGAACGATTATAGGTTTAAGTACGGTCTTCAAAACGGAGCATTAATTATAGTGTATGGAATTATTCATTTGGCTCTTTTTATACCTATTTGTACATAAACTTTTTACAATTTATTATTATTTTATTTTTATTATTATTATTTTTAAATGACTATTGTATCTCTCATTTTACTTTTCATAACTTAGCTGACACTGTTTATGATTACACAAGGATGTAAAGAACACCTGCATGTGGATTATCCATTTAGAGTTAAATTTAAGCAACATCACAGAAGTTGTTCTAACTGTTCCTGTAATAAAAATGACACTATTTTCTTACATCTATTTTATTTTCACACCTCTCAGTCGTTCCGTTAATACACATGGTTGTAAAAGTACACCTGTGACGTGACAGAGGTGTGAAAATTTTAATCTGGTAATTGAGATTAAATATTGATAAAGATACAAAGGTAATAAAAATACATAAAACCTTTTTGATAATATGTCAAATTCATTTGTCAGAAAAAAGAAACACAGTATAAATCTTTTTTTTCTTTCGGAAATTACACTAGTAAATTCTGGCAAGAATTGAAAGGGAAAAACATTGTATATTTTTTTTACAACTTTATAACTTTCTCATTCTATATTCCTTATAAAATTTTGAGTAAATTGGTTTCTATTTTCCCCTTTTTACCTCAATAGACGATGTCTTTGATCACCCCTTGAGTGATTTATATTAATTTTGCATAGTCTGAAGTTCCCTTTTGTTGTATTTTCAAAAATTAAGTACAAATAATTGTATTTGAAACAGTTTCCTTGTTTTTAAAGACTGGCTTTATCAACACTGATAATTAATTGTAAAGAAAACATCTCTGTTAATGCCATGCAAGCGCAATCAAGTCCTCATTATACAATTAGTTATTATTTGTGGAATTGAAATTTTGACAAACAATTTATGCTACTTTTTTCTTCTTCTGTAAAGTCTCAGTTTATTTTTAAGTTCATGGTTTGCAATATTTCAAAATATATGTATAATAACAATAAAATCTTCGATAATTCATAATCTAAAAAATGATGTAACCTTGTGCATATCCATACCGATTTTCGTTTCGTAAATCTTCAATTTAGTATTTATTTTTTTTTCGTATGAAATGACTGTTTTCTCCATTATATACACAATTTTAAGTCCTTTGTTCTCTTATAAAACTCCTTTGTGCTCCTTTGTGCACAAAGAATGTCCTTTGTGGTGTTTTTAGAGACCGCATCTAAAATATTGTGTAGATATTTTAAGCGACTTTGATATGTAGGCATGCATAAAAATGGAAATAAATCATGTGAATTTGGGTTGTTTTCCGCTAATTCCTGGAAAAAATTGTATTTTCATTTCGATAATGAGCGAACCTGTAGATATCTGACAACATTTTAAACCAGCAAAATTTGTGAGAATTCCCTTTTAAACTGAATATATTTTGTTATCAATGTATGAGTAATTTTGAAGGACTCATATGAAATTTTTATATGAATTTGTCTCTTTGACATATTCCCAATTTCCATTCTCAATTTCCGCCCGTTACATACTACTACAAGTAAAAAAGGGAGATTTAAAGATTTTTCCTTTAGGTTAGGGACTGCACAGTCGGCTTTGGCTTACGCCTTTTTGAGTATTAAAACAAGGATTTGTATAAAATACCAATGATTTGTGTAGTGAGTCTCGCTATACAAATCCTTGGTGGTACTTTACAAAACCTTGGTTCAAATAATTCATCTTTTATGAGACTACCATTACACATGTGATATTATCTTATCTATTATGATCTTAACAGAGTCAATGTTATTTTAGATTCGTCTTGTAGTTGTGGTGCTAAGTGTGAATATTCATATCACTTCTCTTTTTTGTCCTAATTATGCGAATATAAGAACCAAATTATTAAATACTCTGAACTGGTTACAAGAGAATTCTCAACTTAAGAACTTCTTAACCTCCGGTGATACGTCTTTAACTACTGTTGAACTGAAAGAATTGTGAAGAATGTATATGAATTTATGAAAGAGTCTAAGAGGTTTCTAATTGTGTAATATAGCACACTTAAGTGCAAATACATGCATAGGGTGTACAACCATTCACATCATCACACATATTTTTTTCACAGTTCTAATATATATATATATTATAATGTATTGTTTGCATGCATGCTTTGTAAATATTCTATTGTTATAATTGTTCATGGGAGAAGTCTATATATAAGTTTGATTAACTTGTGTCTCATCCCTTTTGTATATATAAGCAAATAAAATATGTTAAACTAATTAGTCTCAGATCTTTTTAATACCCCTTTACAGTACGGTAATTTTTAATGTGATTTGAGAAATAAATATAAAATAAATTTGTACATCGATCGGAGCAATTAAAATTAAATAAAACAAAATATTTGATATAAAGTAAACAAAGTTTTATTGTGATGAAATTCCGAGCAAAATCTGTTCTTTGTTTTGATTTTAGTGAGAAGCGCATCCTTGATTTTTTTTTACGAAAATAACCGAAAATAACGATTCCCCCCAAATAAGGGACGACATCAAAAGTTCAATGTAGGATAAAAAAAAACTTAATTCACATAGTTTTTTCACTGACCCCCCCCCCCCCCCTCTTAACTTAATTTGGGAAAAATTGATTGACCAATATGGATATATGTAAAATCGATTTTGGATAAACAAAACTTGCAGCAATTTTAACCCCCCACCCCCAAACTATTTGATTTAAGTTTTTTTATCCTACATTGATCTTTTGATGTCATCCCTAAGAATGAAAATAAAGTTAAAATTTTAATCGGCTAACCTCGGGGGACTCCGCTTCTCTCAGTCTATAGTGTTAGATGGAGGTACGGAATCGGCCGAGTTGTGACGAACGATTTCTGATCCTGTTTGGGTAGCGAGATTTCAGCGAGATCACAACATCATTGCCGCCATATTTGAAAGAAATTTTCCAAACGGGTAGGTTCATCACATAATATTACATTTATACTTATTACTATAGTTGTATATCAAACGCCCATTCAATTCAATTGGTAAATGGGTTTAAAAATGCATTCGGGCCAGCAAAAAATAATCTTCACAGGGCAATTATTTCAAAAGAGTCTTAACTTAAAATTTTCGTAAGCTGTCGCAATGTCGGGCCTGTTCTGTACCGTAGTACACAGGTGCTCGCATCATAGTCCGCTATTAACACAATGTATAACGCATACCAGTCGACTGGCATATATAAATCCGCCCCAAAACATCTATGATACGCGCCCCTGTGTTCTATACAAAAGTTTATCGCGAAGACTGTTACTGTTCTTAGAAGTCAGATGCGGATACTGATTTTTGAAAAGGACTCAGGGCCCCTAATCAGGCAAGTTGGACATTTAAAAAGGTTATGCATTTATGATAACCATATATGAAGCTCTAAAAAAATGAAAACAACAGATTATACAGGGTTCTCACTCAGCCTAAGGTTTACGCGAGTCCATGAGTCCTGGACCACAGGCACAAGGGTAACAAGACATTTCGGCACCCAGACAAATCGGCACCCAAGTCCGAAGACATTTCAGCATCCATTTTGGACATTTCGGGACCTAGACAAATCGACACCTCATCTTTTTAAAAATATATATATTAGGAAAAATGAAAGAATTGTTACAGTAATATTATAATCCGTAGATAAAATATGCAATACAAAATTTGAAATCATCATTTAATTAAATCTTGAATGATTGTGTATGAATAGTAAAACATCATTTAATTAAATCATAATTGATTGTTAGATATGACGGTGTTTGAATAAACATCATTTAATTAAATCATAATTAATTGTGGTTATGCATTAATCTGTATTTTATGTATAAATCTGATTATTTCTCAATAGAGACAAATGAGAGATCAAAAGTGTATAGCTTGTATTTCAGCTTGTGTTCTCGTTTGATAATTACATCTGTAAAGACAACAGAATACCTGAAAACTATATTTTATTGTTTTAATATTAAAATCCATCAACATAAAAGCGTAAAAACAGTCGAACATAATCGCTATATTAACACTAAACTTGTTAATTGAGTTCATACCCACATACATATATCAGTGCCAGGTAACTTTAATGGTTGTTTTACTATATTTTGATCAAGGATAAAATAATTGATTTTATCTTTATAAGGTGCCGATTTGTCTATGTTAGATGCCGATTTGTCTGGGTGCCGAAATGTCTTTCTCGGGTGCCGATTTGTCTGGGTACCGAACTGTCTAGAATTCAGGCACAAGACGTTCTGTCAAAAGTACTAAAATGTAGGAAATGGGAAGAAAATAGTCCATATATATAAAAAAAAATAGCATACACTATTTTCTTCCCATTGCCCATATTTTATTTCAATTGAAAGAACGTCTGATGCCTGTTCCTGCACTGATCAAAATCTGTCTAGACTCATCATTTTCAAAACTTTTGAGTCCAAAGATGCATCCTTATAAAAAATGAGGCTATAATTTAATATAATGATGTAAAATGACTTCTAACTGCCAACAGCCACATTATTTAGACTCTGGTGGATAGTTATCAGACTGTTATCTCATTGGCAATCATGTAACCACATCTCCTTATTTTAGTAGAATGTAGGACAGAAAGTCACAGAACAAAAAGTCACAGGACAAAAAGTCACAATTCAGTTTTGAGATTATTTTTCTTTAAACAAGAAAACACTAATTTAAAAAATTTAATTTTTGTTTTTTCTTGAACTATTATATATGAAGCAACTTTGTAATTAAAATTTATTCAATAAATATCAATAATGATCAAATAATTGTTATGAAATCAAAATGTCAAAGTGGCTTGGTACTTAAATGGCTTCATTGTGCCAAGTAATATATCCTTTGCATGATTAAAATTTAATAAATTTTCATTTATCAAGGCTTATGAACAATTTCCTAAACTTAAAAATGAATATATGTAATAAAAAGAAAATATTTCAAGATCTTTCTCTTATATTTTCAAACAATTGTCAACAAATTATTTGTGACTTTTTGTCCTATCAAATTTGTGACTTTATGTCCTGTGACTTTTTGTCCTGTGACATTCTGTCCGTTTACCTTTTAGTACGGGTTAATTATTTGAAATAAATGACTCACAAACATTAAATCATTTGAAAAAAAGATAATTCTGCAATAATTTATGTTGTTATTTAAAGATTTCAGTTTATATATAATTAAGGACTATGTGGGGTATAAGAGCTTGCTTACTGCAAGCCGCTCTTCATCATCATTTTGTTAAATAATTCTACAAAGAAGGGGTTAGTCTGTTAATGTATCCTTGACTAAGAATAATGAAATTGCAAGAAACAAATTCACATATTACTTTGAATATTGTAGATCGTTTAAGGTAGTCTTGAGCTATTTCTTTATACAAAAGAAACAACAAGTATATAAATATAGTCATGTTACACTACTGTCCCAGGTTAGGGGGAGGGTTGGGATCCCGCTAATATGTTTAACCCTGCCACATTCTGTATGTATGTGTCTGTCCCAAGTCAGGAGCCTGTAATTCAGTGGTTGTCGCTTGTTGATGTGTTACATATTTGTCTTTTGTTCATATTAACTATTAGTCAATAAAATTTATGGTAGAAAACTTTCATTTGAGACAATTTATTGAATTGTGGTGAATTTATGCACTTTTTGTCGAGCCTGCGACTTTTGTTGCAGAAAGCTCGACATAGGGATAGTGATCCGGCGACGGCATTCACTAACTTCTTAAAAGCTTTATATTTTAGAAGGTGGAAGACCTGGATGCTTCATACTTTGCATATAGATGCCTTATGTTAGGAAGTTTCCGTCTGTCACATGTCCATTGTCCTTGACCTCATTTTCATGGTTCAGTGACTACTTGAAATTTTTTTTTTTTATAATGTTAATTTCTCTCTTATTATGAGTAATAGGATAACTATATTTGGTATGTGCGTACCTTGCAAGGTCCTCATGCCCGTCAGACAGTTTTCACTTGACCTCGACCTCATTTCATGGATCAGTGAACAAGGTTAAGATTTCGCAGTCAAGTCCATATCTCAGATACTATAAGCAATAGGTATAGTATATTTGGTGTATTGAAGGATCGTAAGGTGAACATGTCCAACTGGTAGGTGTCATATGACCTTGACCTCATTTTCATGGTTCAGTGGTTATAGTTAAGTTTTTGTGTTTTGGTCTGTTTTTCTTATACTGTAAGCAATATGTCTAACTATATTTGGTGTATGGAATAATTGTAAGGTGTACATGTCCAACTGGCAGGTGTTATCTGACCTTGACCTCATTTTCATGGTTCATTCAGTGGTCAAAGTTAAGTTTTTGAGTTTTGGTTTTTTTTTTAATACTAAATGCAAAAGGTCAACTATATTTGGTGTATGGAAATATTTTATGATGCACATGTCAGTCTTGCAGGCTTTATTTGACCTTGACCTCATTTTCACGGTTCATTGCTCAGTGTTAAGTTTTTGTGTTTTGGTCTGTTTTTCTTAAACTATAAGCAATAGGTCACCTATATTTTTTGTATGGAAGGATTGTAAGGTGTATATGTCTGTCTGGAAGGTATCATCTGACCTTGACCTCATTTTGTTGGTTCATTGGTCAATGTTAGCTTTCATGGTTAAGTTTGTTTCTTAGATACTATAAGAAATAGGTCAACTATATTTAATGCATAGGTTGATTGTAAGGTGTACATGTCTGTCTGGCATGGTTCATCTGACCTTGACCTCATTTTCATGGATCATTGGTCAATGTTTAGTTTTCTTGGTTAAGTCTGTTTCTTAGAAACTGTAAGCAATAGGTCAACTATATTTTGTGTATTGAATGATTGTAAGGTTGATAGTAAAGCTTTATATTAAGGACTATCAACATAATATCAATGGTTATTAAAGAAGGCGAGACATTTCAGCATGTGCACTCTTGTTACCATAAGCTATGCTATCTGCCAAATACATAGAATGACGCAATGACATAACATGTAAATCAAATAATTTAATAAAATCTTCACAACGACAATTTTTTTTGTAGTAAACAACCTATGTTTTAATTAATTGCCTATAGCGCCCTTTGTGCTTTGATAATTTAATACTAAGGAAGTTGGAATACCCAAAGTGAACTACATGTATTTACCTTTGACAGAAAAAAACCAAATGAAACCTTATCAATTACTGGTATAATTGCATGTATAAAGTTGACCATGCTGAGACGATCATATGGAATTATATAAAAAATTTAATTTGAATCAACAGTATTTGTAGATTTTTATGTTTAGTATTGTCAGTTTTGGTTGAGACTATAGTATTATTAAAGAAAATTATTTTTGGAAGAAAAAAACATGTCGGAAGCAATAATGTGACAGAACAGACTGGGTTGGTGTGGGCTGCTTTCATGGGAATTCAATAAAAATAAAATTGAGAATTGAAATGAGGAATATGTCAAAGAGACAACAACCCGACCAAAGAGCAGATTACAGCTGAAGGCCACCAATGGGTCTTCAATGCAGCAAGAAAATCCCGCACCCGGAGGTGGTCCTTAGCTACCTTTTATGCATCTTCCACCTCAGAGCTATCAGCTCTTTGATTCAAAAATATAATAAAAAGTATGGGTCACCAGACTTTTTTTCACGCTACAGGTTGTGCAAAGTTGTCAGATTTTGTATAGATTCTGCATGGAAAATCCAATTTTGTGTGATAAAAAGAAAACTACACCATAGAAGTTTAAGATAAAATGTGAGAAGATAGACTTATAACATGCTTTCAGATAAGAAAAAGAAAAAATAGGGTCACCAAACTTGTTTTCTTGCTACATATCATGCATATTAAAATAGGTAATTTCACAACACTTTCTATTATAAAATTACTTTATCTGAGTTTTCTCCCCTACTATCTTAGTTATCTCTCCTTATTTGTCAAAGTTGAAAAAAATGAATCAAACACAGATATTGAAATATGGTGTTTTTTTTAGAAATTACAGCTGTAAATATGATAAAATACATAATTTTCATATTTACATTAAAAGTCTAACACATGAATTACATACTACATTCAAAATTAGCACATTTCATTAAAGATCTAGACCACTTGTTATCTGCTACTTCAAAATCCAAGATGGAGGAAGACACCAGAGCCACCTTAAATAACATTCTATAATAAAATCATCCAAGATACTGTATCATTTGAGAGCAACACCTTACAGTACTGTTAATCTTGTTAATCATGGAAATATGTCTCATTATCCCAATATAGTTGTTTGAGAGTACCATATATATTTTCTTTATTTTCAGCTTTCTAATGAATTTATGCCATGAAGCGTGTAAAAGTTACTACATTTAAACAGTTAGAGTCTGCTGATCATGTTGAAGGTATGATTATGTTTCTTGTTGATACCCTGCTCTTAGTCTAGAATAAGGGCTATTTTGTAATAACTGTCTATTCAGCTCATTTGTATGTTCAATAGATATTTTCATCACACTTTTCGTAGAAACTACCGAACAGAATGCCTTCATACATAGTTGACAAACTTGACAGTAGTGAGTTTTAATATGTGAACACTTCAAATTTGTCATATACAGGTATTCTGTTTACTAATACATTGACATTTTGATTTATTGTATGAACTAGAAATTTTCTACACACTTTTCTTTTAAAACTTCAAATCAGAATGTCTATATTTGTTCAGCAGATCAATAATGATGAGTTGTTGTGTTCTCCTGCTTTTTGGATGTCAGACATCAAGTTCCTGTGTTCATGTATATTTTGATTTAAAAGTGGGGATATACTTTTATGTGTTGGACAATTTTTTTCTCGTGACAAATATCTATTTTCAGCTTTATTCTATTAGAAAAAAAGTATTCTATAACATACATGTATATGAAGAAGACTTATTTGTTAAAACAAGAAGTTGAAAGACCGCACCAAATTAATTACTTGTCCTTTGGACTCCTACTATAGAATAAGAGGAGTGAACATGAATAATTTTATTTATCTTGCATGACATAATTATTGTTGTTTTGTAGATAGTGACACCGAATTTGAAGATGACTACATTGATGTTAGAAATGCAAAGCGCAAAATAGGTAAGAACAAAGAAGTATTTAAGATATTTATATATTATGTATATCACATGTATCATGTATGTTTAAGACATGAAGCTTGGACAGAAGCCTGACAGTATTTTCTAAGTTAGAGGGAAATTGGAAAAACTATTTCATCTCATTTTCCATGTTTAATGGATAATAGGACATTTTTTTCTGTATTTAACATTGATATGTATACGGTATTATTTAAGTTTTTCAACACCAATAACCATTATGAGATTTTATGAAACTTTGACAGATGCTTCCTTGTGATCAAAAGATTGAATCAAGAACGATATTTTTAAATTATTTTGTTCACAGACCACTGAACATAAGTCTTATTAGAAAATGATAGTGCTAGTGGGGCATCCATGTACTACGGACACACTAATATATTGACTTCTTTATTAATACCTTTTCCTAAACAATAAGAAATGTTTTAATCAGCATAAGTTTATCCCAGTGTAAAACATTTCTTTCTGGCATGTCTAGTAAATGTATTTAATTTGATAAAATAGTTTTATTATTCATATATATTTTAATTTTTTGCATTTAATTATTTGTTTTGATTTTTAATCAAACAATTTTAACAGTATTCTATGTATATGCTGACTTGTATGCCGAAATCTATTTGTTTAATGTACTGAAGGCTTATTAACCATGTGAAACGATAAGGGGTCAATTAAAAAAAATCAATAATCTACTATCAGGACAATGAAATCTCAACAGACATGACAGATCAATCAGTTTACAAGTCTGTAGTATAATAGTCCCAGTGTCAAAAAATAAAAGTTTTTTATATTGTCATTGATTAAAAGATTTAGCATATATATATATATGTATCAATGAGACTTCACTATTTTTGTCGAGCCTGTGACTTTTGTCGCTGAAAGCTCGACATAGGGATAGTGATCCGGCGGCAGCGTTAGCTAACTTCTTAAAAGCTTTATATTTTATAAGCTAGAAGACCTGGATGCTTCATACTTTGTATATAGATGCCTTATGTTACGAAGTTTCCGTCTGTCATATGTCCATTGTCCTTGACCTCATTTTCATGGTTCAGTGACTACTTGAAAAAAAAGTCAACATTTTTTGTAATGTTAATTTCTTTCTTATTATGAGTAATAGGATAACTATATTTAGTATATGCGTACCTTGCAAGGTCCTCATGCCCGTCAGACAATTTTCAATTGACCTCAACCTCATTCCATGGATCAGTGAACAAGGTTAAGTTTTCGAGGTCAAGTCCGTTTATCAGATACTATAAGTAGTAGGTCTACTATATTTGGTATATGGAATTATTGTAAGGTGTACATGACCAACTGGTAGGTGTCATCTGACCTTGACCTCATTTTCATGGTTCAGTGGTCAAAGTTAATTTTTTGCGTTTTGGTCTTTTTTTAATACTATATGCAATAGGTCAACTATATTTGGTGTATGGAAATATTTTAGTGTCAGTCTCGCAGGTTTTATTTGACCTTGACCTCATTTTCATGGTTCATTTCTCAGTGTTAAGTTTTTGTGTTTTGGTCTGTTTTTCTTCAACTATAAGCAATAGATCAACTATATTTGTTGTATGGAAGGATTGTAAGGTGTATATGTCTGTCTGGCAGGTATCATCTGACCTTGACCTCATTTTCATGGTTCATTGGTCAATGTTAAGTTTTCATGGTTAAGTTTGTTTCTTAGATACTATAAGCAATAGGTCAACTATATTTAATGCAATTGATTGTAAGGTGTACATGTCTGTCTGGCATGGTGCATCTGACCTTGACCTCATTTTCATGGTTCATTGGTCAATGTTCAGTTTTCTTGGTTAAGACTGTTTCTTAGAAACTATAAGCAATAGGTCAACTATGTTTGGTTTATTGAATGATTGTAAGGTGTACATGTATTTCTCGTTTGGTTTATCTGACCTTGACCTCATTTTATTGGATCATGTTAAGTTTATGTGTTACTTGTAGTAAAGCTTTATATTTAGGACTATCAACATAAAATCAATGGTTAGAAAAGAAGGCGAGACATTTCAGCGTGAGCACTCTTGTTCCCATTTAGACCAGGAGATATCTTAAACAGTCTGTTCCCCTAATCTTTGTCATGTTTTTAAAAAGAAAAGAGTGGCAAGTGGTTTTTTTTAGAATGTAAGGCTCTGATATTTCTCCTGAATACTTGTATTTTTATTTATTCTTTTTAATTTTAGCCAGGAAACGTGAAAAAACATCAAATGTATTAAAAGATAAGGAGACAGACTTAAATGTTATTTGCAACCTTGTGAATTCGCCATGCTGTGAGAAAAAATGTTTAAGCACCAGTAATGTTCAGACAATTCAGACCTGTAGAGCTATGTTCTATAAAAAGACACAAGAAGAACAGTCAGATTTCATTGAAAGAAACATAAGGTATATTTATATATGAATAGATTTTTATTTACTACAAGAGTGTTTTAATGATCTTGACTGGCTATACAGCCTTCGCAGAGTCAGTAAAAGAATATATATATATATGGCAAATATGTGTACATTCGCATACTGATATGCATTTGTACATGTTTCTGTTGATTAAAGCTGCCTTAACTTAATTACAAGAAGTCTAATAAAACTTGATTTAAAGTAATTTAAAAAAAAAACATTTTGTTGGGGTTTTTTTCCCCAACAAAGATAGATGAGCTCTGATGTTAATTTTCTTTAAAAAAATTTGTCTCATGATACATGTATACAAATAACATGAAATCTTTTATAAATTTTACTCGTTTCTTTCAAATCAGATGAAAAAGAAAAAAGAGAATCTTTGGTTCTTGAGCCTCCTAATGGGGTTTTTGATAATGTGATTTTATAGTGAATATTTGATTACCAGACCAAATATTTCATGATTATTTGATTAGTTGATTATCTAGGACTGTATTTTTGATTATTTGATTATCTTGTTTAAAAAAATAATTAATGATTATAAGATTATATTGGCAAAAGATTTGTGATTATGCGATTACTTGGACACCCCCATGAAGGGCCTCATTCTTATTGACCAATTTTATAAGACTTAATCTATAACCAAATGGACATGTGTTATGAAAATGTTGAAGATAGGTAAAAATTCACTTCTCATGAAAAGTTTTAAACATTCAAAAACCATTTGGTAAAAATATGTTATATTGTTGGTGTAGTACCTTTGACATAGATACCATATCTTAACACCAGTTCGTAAAACCTAAACTGTAAAACGTGTGGTCTTGAGATCTACTTTTTTCAAATGTTTTTTTTTTTAATTATGTACACAGGTGCAATGATGCCAGTTTAGAAGACAAACAGTTGACTTTTGTGCTGACTGGTAGGAGAGTATGTGAATATGCATGGAGGATTGTGTATGGCATAAAAAGGAGGAGGTATAATACCTTAAAAGTATAAATAAATTAGTTCATGGGCTACACATCCTTATGACAGCAACCCAACATCAAAGTAGTGAGGGGGCCTCGGTGGTTTGTGATCTTAGTAGTTACTACTGTAATCACTAGCCAGTCAACACTGAGGTTGTGAGTTAGAACCCCGCTTGTGCGGGTGTGCTTGACTCCAATCTTAATTGACTAGGATTGTCAGTTTTCCTATCAAAGGTCGGTTGTTTTATTTGGGCGCTACTGCTTCCTCCACCAATAAAAACTGGCTGCCACAAGATTACCCAAAAGGGGTGCTTCTAAGTGACGTTAAAAACACAAAAAATCAAAATCAATTCAAATCAAAAGTAGTGATCCCACATTCTGTTGTAGTCTACCTGGTTAATTTTTAATGTATATATATACATTTGTTTTAAAATACCAATCAAACAGCTATCCATGAGGAGGTTGTAAGCAACTACATGTCACTGTTAGGTCTTTAACAATGAAAATCCCATATTGTATAGTAAACTATTTATGCTCACAGAACGGGAAGCGATTCAATTGAGAAATCAAATAGCCAGATATATGCTAAAACCACCATCAAAATAAGATATGACAGACAGCAAGGAACAACCATTAATTTACAGGGTCCTAGGGACAGTCCCATAAAGTATGTGGCGGGGTTTAACATATATCCAAACAGATGAACACTCTTCTTATACATGTTATATTCAGTCTGTGGCTTAGTTTTTTTTAGACATAAAAAACTTCTAAAGGTCAATTTGCTATGTAATTTATGAAACTTTGACAGTCTCAAAACAGCATCTGTAGAATTATTTGTTTGAATCAAGTCTAGGGTGGTTTCTTTAACAATTTACTTGATTTGTGTTCATTTTTCACAGATAAAACAAATTGAAAAATGATTTTTATGACAAAAAAACACATTTCCTTAAAAGGATTTTTAAAATTGATGTCAAATAATCCGAGAAAATAAAACCACATAAATTAGTAGTGGTATCAGCCTGTTATATTTTTTACATTTTTAAATTTCAGGTATTACTACATGAAAAAGAAATGTAGGTCTACTAATGAAGATTTAGACAATTCTGACAAAAGATGTAGCCAACAATACAAGAGTCGCCAGTACCTTGAAGCAAAGAGTTTTGTTACAGGTCTATGCAAGAGATATGGTGATGATCAGCCTGATATTCTGGAAATACATTTGCCATCATGTCTCTCTATACTACAAGTTTGGACAGATTACAAATCTTCCTGTGAGAATTTAGGATCACCCTTTTTATCATACCAGAGGTTCTATGGAATGTGGATTGAAGAGTTTCCTCATGTTAAGATTCCAAAGGTTTGTATGGAGTAATATTCAGAACAAAGGTGTTGGTTTATGAACATGATGAAGGGATAAAATAATATGCAGATGTCTAAATTATAACTGAAAAGTAGGAAATCATCACAGTCTGACACATCTTGACAGTTATGATGCCAATGCACATAAAACATATGCTATCAACTGTATTTTACAAAGCTGTTTAATATGTACAAAATATATGTTTTGGTAAAGTCATGACAAACATCAATTTTTTTTCAATAATTATGTGTAAAATTGTCAATTATGTCAAAGTCAACATATATATGCATGTTTATGACATAAAAATTACTTTCTGCACTTTATGTTAAATAAAGGTCATGTTGTATGACACATGAATGATGAGACAACTATCCTATAGAGTCCAATTGACATGGATTTAAGCAACTAAAGGTCACATTGGACCTTCAAAATGAAACTAAACTATATTTCAATCTTTTATTAATAAAAAAATGAAATTTATGTTGCAAGTCTTTAATAATTCATTGGTATGACAGTGACTTTATATATTATACCTCCTGCTTTATGTCACATAATTAATCCCTTCGTCATATTAAAAAATGTTCAGTCATGCATAAATTAAGAAACATTCATAGAATTAAATAGATGTAATCTTTTTGTTTATAGTATCAGAAGCTCAGCAAATGTAATGAGTGCGTAATCTTTAAAGAGACCATCAGCAAAAAACTGACAAAGATCGATTTGGGAGAGCTGAAGGACAAGAGAAGAGCACACTTGCTTCTTCAAGAGTAAGAATTTTATCCACTCTTAAAAATGATTTTTTTTGTACTTTTCATGATTGATGCAAATACATCTACATTATTAGCTCAACTGCAAGTACTGAACCAAATTAACCAAACTCTGCAACAATCTTCTTAGGTTTTTAGTATACAAAAAAGGTGGCCTATGACCATGACTGCCAACCAAAATTGCCAACATAGCTAAAAATAGAACAGTGGGGGTTAAATGCAAATTTGTCTGATTATCTTGAAAGCTGCTATAATTGGGGAAAACATGATGAGAGAGATGTTATGTTGTGATCTGCCCATTTATACAAAACCCTCAGTTGACTTGTTATGGAGTTATTGCTCTTGGTTATTTTTTTTACTGTTTTTATAAAAAAGAAGATGTGGTATTGATTGCCAATGATACAACTCTCCACTAGAGACCAAATGACACAGAAATTAACAACTTTAGGGACACCAACTGCTTTTAACAATGAGCAGATCCCATACAGCATAGTCAGCTATAAAAAGGCCCCCAAATGACACATGTAAAACAATTCAAACAAGAAAACTAATGGCCTAATTTATGCACAAAAGAATGAACAAAAAACAGATAATGGAACACAGTAACAAACAACAATTAATTTGACTATTATCTTGAAAATTATGAAAGATAGATAGACACTTAAAAAAGCCAATATGATATGAGTAAGTAGTCTTAAATTAAGATTTTTTTTACCCTTTTTGGTGTTTGGGCAAAAACTCAAGAAGATAGAGAGAAACTATAAACAAAAACATTATCAATGATACAATATCAGCAAAAATAAGATAATTGTCATAAATTCTATTCTGGTCTCCAATGTTTGTGAGTGTCCATAATTGAAGATGCAAATAGACCTTGGTGAGCGACACAGGCTCTTTAGTTAGTTAAGTCACTACTGTGCACAAGTACAAAGAAAGTTTATTCTTCCTAACATCACTACACCATGATGTTGGGCAATGAAACCATTTATGATTACTCACCACTTCTAGAAAATGTGTTGGTTGTAGGGAAGTCATGGTCATGGAATTACCACAACTATTAATCATTTGTGAGTGTAATGTATATATTTTTGATTTTTTTTTCAGAATCTGCAGGGAAAAATATTATAAACACATAAAGAAATCCAAAGAACATCCAAGCATGTACACTTCTGTTATCATTGACAATATGGATCAGTCCAAAACCAATCTACCAAGGTTTCCATTACATTTTAAGGTGAGTTTGTTTTGGAAGGGCATATTTTTATTATAAGGGTTATATTTAGAACATGATATTTCAATGCAATAATCAATTTCAATGTTGAAAGCAGGCTCGCAGTGTTAGATTCATCTTATTTGTAAAATTATAAAATGAAAACAACAAAAAAGGTCCATTTTTATGCCCCATTTATGGGCATTATGTTTTCTGGTCTGTGCGTCTGTTTTTTTGTCCGTCCGTCTGTCCCGCTACAGGTTAAAGTTTTTCGTCAAGTTAGTTTTTGATGAAGTTGAAGTCCAATCAACTTGAAACTTAGTACACATGTTCCTTATGATATGATCTTTCTAATTTTCAAATTAGAGTTTTGACCCCAATTTCACGGTCCACTGAACATAGAAAATGATAGTGCGATATGGGAATCTGTGTACTATGGACACATTCTTGTTTGGTATATCATTTGAATGTTCTATTTTGCTATGAATGTCTAGGAAATTACACATAATCGTGAAGATCTAAGTGGTGTTAGCATCTGCAATTAATAGAATTTGGTCTGGTCAAACTCCTAACCTTTCTCTGTATTGAATTGTATCTTGCACTATATTTACATTGTAATTAAATGATTGATTTACTTAACGCAAAGCAGCAATCATATGAACTAACAGGATGTGTAGTGAAAATGACTTCTTGCAGTATTTATTTTCTTTTAGCATTTTATATGAGACAAATATTTTACCATTCTAGATAAGAAGGGGGCTTTATTGGTAGCACCTAGTCTATCTGTTGGTACAACACTTTCATCCAACTTTTCAAGAAACTACTATTAAAATAAAATGACCTCATATTTGCTATTTGGTCAACAGCTTGACAGTGATGACATGTGATATAAAAAAGAATCTGGAGATTTGTCAGATACCTAACTCTTGTTTGCAATTACTTTGAATTTTTCAATATTGGAAGGAATTCAACTTTTTTTGTCATATTTTTCTCAGAAACTACTGAAATCAATGACTTTATTTGGTCAGCCGCTCAACATAGATGAGTTAAGCATGTTAAGAGTGCACCTTCAGATAAGTCATATAACTACTTCCTGTTAGCCAATATTTTGAATTATGATTGCATTCTTGTTTAAGTTATGAGCACATGTTTTTAAACTTTTTTTTTTTTTCAGAATGAAACAACACTTGAAAAAATGCACCACCATGTTACAGGTGTTTTATGTCATGGATTAAATAAGGCATATACATTTACATGGACAGATCAGTTTTCCTCTGATTGCAATATCACCTTGAATTGTTTGATGTCTGTGTTGGGCGATGTAGCAACAGTAAGTATCTATTATCAAGTTTAAAGTGAAACAATTAACTAAAGTTCTCATGCAAGAGAATACTGTGGATTCATTTATTTTCGTGGGTATCAATTTTCGTGGATTGAGGAAAACTTGCATTTTCCTGGATATTTAATTTCGTGGTTTTGCCATACCTTGGATACAAAGCCTAAAGAAAATTTGTAATTCATTGCCCATTTGAATTCGTGGTTTACCAGTATCAACGAAAGCCACGAAAATTGGTATCCAACGAATAATAATTAATCCACAGTAACACATTTTCATTTATTTTACAATTTATGCAACAACAAGAAAGTCTAAGTGTATAGAAGCCACTTCTAGTCCATTAATTTTAAACATCAAAGATATGAAAGTTAAGAGATGTGGTATGACTGCCAATTAGACATATCTCCAAAGATTTCACATGACACAGACACTGAAAAATTACAGATTAATCTAAGCTAGCATTACTATTCAATTAGAAATAATAATTGGACAGGGTTGCATATAAAAAAAGTAAGAACGATGGGTATGGTTGCCAATGAACTAATTATGCATAGAGACAATGTTGTAGACTATTGCAGGTCAAAGTATGGCCGTCTACAGTGAGCAAAACCCATACCCTATACTAAGCTAAAACGCCAAGTGTTGACAAAATGGAAAACAAATTCAAAACTGATTTTTAGAAAAAAAACATATTTCATGGCTTATTTTGTTTTTACATGTGCACTAGACCGCCATGTTATTCTTGTTTGATAATGAGGTTAATTTTCACATTCCCATTTCTGAATATATATAATAAAGAGCCTAGGTGGTCGAGTGGTCTAGTGCGTCGTTCACAGTACAATGTGATTTGGTGCCACGATATCTCAGTAGCATGAGTTCGAAATCCCAGCAAGGGAATATATATATATATAAATGCATGAACATTATTTATTTTGCTTTTTACCAAAAATGTAATGGAAATATAAGCAATAATCTGTAATTTTTCAAAGAAATGTGAGAAGTTTATAAAAGTTGGGAACAAATTGCGCTTCTCATGATAAGAGATGAAAATGAAACAATTTATTCATGCAGTTTTATCGGTGAACAAACTTCTTTTCTCAAAAATAAGCTTTGACTTAAATACTTTTATGACTAAAATACTTCATATGCTAGAAAAATATATTATGTTTGGTATAATAGGGTTGGATAACTTTTAACTGTGATGATATGATGTATAATATGTAAAGCTGATTCCCTTTTTTTTCTTTTTAGGAAAATGGTGGTTTACCTCCTACACTATATATTCAAGCTGATAATTCCCCAAAAGACAACAAAAATAAATATGTGATAATGTTCCTAGCAATGTTGGTGAAAATGGAAATTGTAAAAAAGGTAATTTAATTTTTTTGCATTTATTTAATTTATTGATAGATGGAGTTACCATGGTAATAAAATTTAGTATTTGAAACTTTTATTGGAATTTGTTAGCATACATGCATTTTTGTTATCCTTACTTCAAATCACAAGGGCATAAATTCAGACATAACAGCATGCAATACATTTTTAGTTCCAATATTTGTTTGTTGCAAATTAAAACTCTTTTTTGCTATAACATAAAATTGAGAATGGAAATGGGGAATGTGTCAAAGAGACAACAACCCTACCAAAGAGCAGATATATATGTCATGTATATATCATGTATGTGCTTGTCATTTCATCAACAATAACAAAAAATCACTAACTTATGAAAAGAAAAGAGAAAATGTTTCATAAAACAAAACAAAAGTGCATGTTGTAGTCACAGATTCCAAAAAATACATTTAAGGCAATCACTTAAAGGGGTAAAACCCAGCTAATTCATTTTCACTGATTTGACTCAAATTTTCATGTTTGATTTCTAACATAATAAAATGAATATCCAAATTGTAAAAAAATCTAGAATTTTTTATGTATGGACTGATAATATGTATCTTCATGATGTGTGTATTTTTGTCTAGAGTCAACTTATTTATCATCTATTCGTAGCTAAGTGGCACTTCCTTGGGAAACTAGTCAATTTTAAAAATTGTCAGTAAAATTCAGAGATGCCAATAATTACGATTTTCAGTCATTGAAGTTATTTCATGACTATAATGAATATTAACCATATTCTGCTTTTTGTTGTTCAGTTTATTTTTTGTGTTGAACTACTACATTTGGTGAATGGAATGATTTTTATGTGTACATATCCAGGTACCATCTGACTTTGACGTCATTTTCATGGTTCACTAGTTAAAAGTTTAGTTTGTGTGTTATAGTCTGTTTTTCCAATACTGTATGCAATAGGTCAACTATATTAGGTGTATAGAAATATTTCCAGTGTAGATACCTGTCCAGCAAGTTTTATTGACCTCCACCTCATTTTTATGGTTCATTGCTCAATGCTAAGTTTTTGTGTTTTGGTCTGTTTTTCTAAAACTATAAGCAGTAAGTCACTTATACTAATATTTGGTTTATGGAATGATTGTAAGATGTTTATATGTATATAGATATAAGAAGATGTGGTATGAATGCCAATGAGACAACTCTCCATTCAAGTCACAATTAGTAAAAGTAAACCATTATAGGTCAAAGTACGGTCTTCAACACAGAGCCTACCGACCGTGTGAGGGCTGTATAGCAAGTCAAGGTCGTTAATACTTCCATTATCATCATCAGAGCCTTGTTAATGATGATACATGTAATAATGCTTCATATTTAGGGCTATCAAAATAAATTCCATGGTCAGTAAAGCAGGCAATACATTCAGTATGTTGACTCTTATTATTATTAATGTGCACCAAAAAGTATTGGCACTTATGAAATTTTAGTTGAACAATGTGAGATTTGGAATTGAAGCTTTAATAACTTATTACAAATCTATATCTTTTTTTTTTACAGATAAAGCTGACATTCCTCATGGTGGGTCACACCCATGAGGATGTTGATCAGTTATTCAGTAGGATTTCTGTTAAAGCTTCAAAAGAAAAGACAACAACCATCCCAAGCCTTTTGGATCTGATCAAAAGGTCTTACACACCACAACCTATTGCAAAGCATGTAGAATCACTGTATGATTTCCGGGATCAGATGGCATATCCATCCAGTCTAGCTGGAATCAAAAGTCAGCACGTATTCAAATTTACAAAGGATGGAGACAAAGTTTTCTTGGCCATGAAAGAATGGCCATTGGAGTCAGCACCATACAAAACATTGGAGCTGACTAATATATTACAGAATCTCGACATGCCGAGGAAGGTGGAACCAAACATGGAAAAGATTGGTGGTATCATACAGTTGATGAGACGAGATCTTCCAAAATGGGTTCAAAATGGAAAGTTAAACAGAGAAGATGAACTTTGGTGGATCAGCTACCTATCTACCCTCGAGAAAACAAGACGCCCTGCACCAAAGACTCCTTTGCCACAAAATATGGGACGTTACAAGAAACCACAACATGAACAACCAGCTATGGAAGGTAATTTGTTGGCTGCGATCAACAACCATATCCAGACTTTTGAGAGAAACACCGCAGTTAGGATTGTTACACACCGACCACGGGTTTAAGTCCTCAAAACTAATTCTATTTTGTATATTTTGTATATTTTGTATATATATTTACCTCCTAGGAACATTTGATAGATAATCTTCTTATGTCATATGAGCACCAAATTTTGTGTCTATAAATGAAATGACTTCTGTATGTTTGTTTCAAAGATTAATTCGTAGAAACTTGTAGCTGCTGTCCTTTAGTGAAGACAGTTCAGCATTTTATAAGCATGATAAGTGACAACATGTTTAAGCAGTTGACTGTATGAAACTAAATATCATTCACATTAATGTACAGTACTGTAGTTTGCAATTGTTGTATGGAATTTTGATTCATGATTATTTTGAAAACTAAGTGTTTTTGTATAGCAGTGCTATATCTTTAATGTTCACAAATGTACAAATGTTAATATAAAAAACTAATTTGTAAATAATATTTCAATTGCTACAGTAAGTGTTTTGACAAGTTAAGTCAATGTTAGTATTATTTATTTTTAAAATTTTGAAAAGTTATTTGTATTCTGAAAGTAGATTGGGTAAGTGTCAATTTTCTGGCTAAAAGCTTTTTAAGTTGCTGATTAAAACATATTGAAATTAGCCTGTTTTAATTGGTAGGGAAAAAGTAAGAGAATTTGTGAGAATTGTAATAAGATTTAGTAGTCCGAGCCTTATTGAACCTTCTCTTTTGTACAAGATGAGAAATGGAAATCTTCAATTGAAATGTATGCATGTAACATTGTAGACAATAGAACATACTTTTCTTACATGTATTTCTTTTATTAGTCATGCTTTTTTGCATTGAAGTATTGACATTTAATGAAAATATATATATCTGAGATAATTTACCTGTGTAAAAAACAACTTTCAAATAGAAAGAAATGTGTTTATATGTATATTTTGCATAGTTCTTTTGTAAATACAAAATAAATATGTTATGTCAAAAACAATTGTCTTTTTTATTATTTGTTTGTCTTAATATAATAGAATAGGTTTTAATTTATAGTTTGTAAAAGTTTCTAGGTTGGCCTTTCATCAACTTACTGGTCCTTCATTTTCAATTTATGACCAATGAACCTCATTGTGCTATAGCTTGTGTATTAAAAGAAAAAAAGAGAATGTGTGATACATTTGTAAAGTTTTTAATTTTAATCATTTAATGGTCTAAGTAACAGAATTTAAGACCAAGTTGGAAACCAATAAATTGTTTTTTTTATTATTCTGACAAGTGAAATATATAAAAAGTATTTTTATGATAAATGAAATATGAGAAATAGTTTAGGTTTGAAATATTCTAAATGTTCTTTCAATTCAATTCATGAGAAATGTGGTCCTTGCTATTGGATAGAATGGATGTTGGGTAGAAACATTTTGATGAAAAATTAGGAAACACGGACACACGCCTTTAGGTGCAGGACTTTTTAGCTGTGTTTAAGACCCAATGGTGGACATCAGTTGTTTTCTGCCCTTTGGTCGGGTTGTCTCTTTGAAATATTCCCCTTTATTTTACTTGTTTGTACTAAAGTCAAATATATTTAGTATGCAGTTGAGTTGACATTGGCAAATCTCATTTCCAGGGATAGTGTTAGCACCTCTACTTCAGTCATGGTCTTTTTGCTTTGAAACTTTTGCATAGTCTAAATGTTAAAGTTTGTGTCTATGTCATTTCTAATGAAAGTAAACACTTGTGAAATTTGGTATGCAATTGTATATTAAGAATTGTCATTTCTCATTTCCAAGATGGTTATTTAGCCCTGCACCTTCAGTTGTGGTTAATTGACTGAATGATTTGCCCAATTTTAATTTTAAACAATCACATTATAATATAAAAATTGAGTCGGACAAAACATATCACTGTCAATAATTTGTACTCAGTACCCACCAAAACAGAAAATTGTTTTCTGACGTACAAATGAATCCACAGTATTCTGTTGCATATTCTGAGGTATAGTTTGTAACTCTTGGTTGGAGTAATATATATCTATGAGGTTGTAAGCTATCAATACAAGTTAAAAAAAAATCTTTATTGTCACTAGATCTAAATTTACTTTTCCTAATGATGTTTAATATTCTGTATTCTTGACTTTTTCGCATAGATGAGCATAAAAGTATTGTAATATTTGAAGTGCATGATGTAGTATATTGAGATTTTTTTAATCAACAACAAGGTTTTTCCTACTTGACTTGACTACCTGTGAGGGTCTTGCACGGTTGTTTTTTAATCAAAATCAAAACACTGATACAAACAACACCATAAATATATTTATAGAAAAAAAGCAAATCGGATAAAACTGACCTACAGCACAAAATTAACATTTATCAAATTGAAAGAAATCATACAAGACAAAAGATATCCTAAGGGAGATAAAAAAAAAACCTAAGGGACAAAATTAATCCTAAGGGAGAGAAGAAAATTTTAAGGGAAAGAAGAAAATCCTAAGGGAAAAAAAATATCCCATAGGACAAATTAAATCCCTTAGGAGAAATAAATAATCCTAAGGGAGAAAAAATATCCCATAGGACAAATTAAATCCCTTAGGAGAAATAAATGCTCCTAAGGGAGAAAAAATATCCCATAGGACAAATTAAATCCCTTAGGAGAAATAAATGCTCCTAAGGGAGAAAAAATATCCCATAGGACAAATTAAATCCCTTAGGAGAAATAAATAATCCTAAGGGACATTTTTTATGGAAAAATAGTCTTTCATGATAATCCCATAGAATAATTTATATCCTATAGGATTGAAATTTTTTTTAAAAATCCCACAGGAATTTTAATCCTGTAGGATATTAATTTTATCCCATAGGATAGTTTATCTCCTACAGGATATTTTTATCCTAAGGGATTTAAATATCCCACAGGATATTAAAAATATCCTACGGGATTATGACTTTATCCTATAGGATTTCTAAAAATCCTGTAGGATTTTTAAAAATCCTATGGGAAAAAAAAATATCCTATAGGATATTGACACTGATTTCACTCTTAATGCCGAACGGGGCGAGCCATATCAAAACTTTTTTTTTAATTGTTTTACCTATAGGCATAGGTATATTATTGCCAAGTTTGATAATTCTACCTTAAAAAAAAATGTGGTTCCAATTTGCACTCACGAGAAGTGCAAATTAATCCGAGAACATGTTACTGGTTATTTATTAAGTTAGGATTTCGTTACCGCAAATTACTTAAAGGGGCTGTCAAATTCATGTTCGCCTATTTGACTCAAATTCTAAATTATAAAAAGTCTAAAATAAGCAAATTACCATGCATGTACTCGATAATATGTATCACCATTTCGTGTGTATTTTAATCTAGATGTCATCTAATTAACCATCGAGGTGATCTCCGAAGACTGCCGACGGTCATATAACCCAATATAAACATAAATATAGATGGATAGCGAACTCGTGCAATTGAATTTTTCTAGGTCTGTTTGATTTCATATTATAGGTTATAAAAATATGTTAATCATCATTTTTACTCGTATGAGAATGAGTTGTGTGGATCAATTCGGTCAACCAAATGATTTATCCTTGTTTCACTTTCAATGTTGACATTGTTTTCCTTTTAATAGCTGAACACGCCTAGTTCATGCGTAAACCATTTCTAGCTATGGGTTATATAGAAGGTCAGATGAATACGGTTTTAATGAGGTCAAATTATTCATCAGCGACATTTCTAATCTTATTTAAACCAAATTGAACCAAACTGGCTGCTAAAAATGAATTATTATTTCACTATTAAACTTTCATTAATGATTGATAAAAAAAATCATACTTTTATAAATTTTTTTACATCCCCATCAAAACCTTTACTAAATTCTTCCATGGATACAAAGATTTAGTTTGCAAGTTTGGCTGTACCTGTAAAAAACTTATTTCAGACGGAATAGCACATCCTCAATTTGTACGGTGATGTTGTTAACCGAGCCCGGAAATTTATATACGTTCCGGGTAATTTATCAATCCTTTAAATAAAATTATTCTAAAAGGGTACCAATTCAACACTGTAGTTAGATCATAGAATATTGTTTTTTTGGTATAAATATTGATTTTGTTGTCAGTAAATTAAAATCATACCAAATAGTTTTGTTATCAAATATGCACTTTAACATGTTTAACGGTACTACAATCTGTCGATTCCTTTATATTGCCATTGCATAAGGTAATGTTTTTCTCTGACTGTTAATGAAGTCTTTACACTAAATCCATTGGATGTTGGATGTGTACTGATAGATACTATAGTCTTGAATACATGATTTTTTTACAAGTTGTTATTGGCTTTGAACTAGCCCGAAGTTAAGTGGTTGTTGTTGGTTCATGTCTGCCATATTTGTTTTTCGTAAATTGTTTTGTTTTAAATTAGGCCGTTAGTTTTCTCAATTAAATTGTTTTATATTTTTCATGTCTGGATCTTTTATAGCCGACTATACGGTATAGGTTTTTGTCATTGTTGAAGGCCGTACGGTTGCCAATAATTGCCTACATCCACTTTATTTGAACTTTGGTGGATTGTTGTCTCATTGGCAATCATACCTCATCTCCTTATTTTTATATTGAAGACCAACGATAGCCGTGAAAGTTGTCCGTATTTAGGTAAGCATGTTAATATTTCATCCCCGAGTAGACTAGTTGCTACTGAATGTAACAGGAACTGCTTTACCTAACAAAATATTTTTTTCCAAATATAGGATATCTCATTAAAGACGTTTTTGAATCACTCCATATAAAAGCAAATTCAAACTTTTAAAACATCTATTAAACTCGCGCCAGTTTCTTCATGATAAATGTGAAAAACAAAGTAGTTGCGTAGTTACCTTGAAAATTACTCTGATTACAAACAATGTATATGCATTTTGTTATTCATAAATTTTCCTAGATTTCGATTGTCATTTTTGTTCGTTCCTGCTGATTATGTTAAGTAAACTGTTGCTTAAACGTTTCAGATGCCGCCTACAATTGTATTGTATATCATTGCTTCAAATGGATAAGGGATCTGCATACACAAAAACACATCTGTACTCAGAATAACTGTCAAAGGTGTAAACAGAACCATGTTTTTCTATGTGATGTACTGAACCTTAAATTAAATTGATTGTCTGAATGCTCTTTTATAATAAGAAAAGAGAGCTTTGTCTGAATCATTTAAGTTTGCTTATTCTTTTTCGATTTTCTTCAGATCCCCAAATATTTAAAATTATGAACAACATCAATATTATTCCAGTCAAATTCAAAACATGAAAAAATGATTACATTAAATGCTATATTGCAATTACCGTATGTAGGGGTAAATATATAAGGCACTACATAGAAATGTGATACCCCAAATATTATCACCAGCCCATTAGTCAGCGCTGCATTGTTAACATAAATTATCATTGATATGGTCATAATTATAAATTAAGTGTTTACAAAACTTAAAATTTTTCGAAATACAAAGGATCGTCTATACCAGGAATGGAATATCTAAGCTGTATTTGGCCAAATGTTCCGTAATATTTGGTCCTCAATAATGTTCTTCAACTTAGTACTTAATTTTGACTTTTTTACTTCGTCCAAGGTTACTGATGAGTCTGTTGTAGACAAAACGCGAATCTAGCGTACACAATTTTAATCCTAGTATCTGTGACGAGTTTATGTTAAAGCATATGTCTTTTTATCTGTTAACTTTAAATGATTGTCACTTAGTTGTCTTCATATCATTTTCAGTGCATTCAAATCTTTTCAACAACATTTTTTTTATATTTTATGAACTTTTATATAAAGAAAAAAATAATAAGAAATTGGAAAAGCAAAGAAATTCGATAGTAACAAAACATCATTAATACACTCAGATATGCATGATTTCTAAATAATTTTCTTCTGTAAATATGTTAGATTGTTTAATTTTCCTAATGCGCCTTTAACCAGGAACACAACTATAATTTGTTAACAGTATTCGCTGTGCAATGATTTTGGTGCTTCTTACCTGCGGCGCAACGGCGACAACAGGTAAAGTAACCGCTCGATTCTGTCCGTCTATCCGGAAGACATTGAGAAGACAAATTTCGTCAAACTATTCTGTCTTCAATGAAAGGGAACGATTATATATTTAGTTTGCAGTCCTAAGTGTTGAGTTGTAGATTGAAAGCAATTTTCACATCTTCCTTGAAGCCATTCCCTGTTTGCCGATAGATCAAATTTTACAACACTCGTTAAATACGAAAAAAATGGTAAAACTTTTCTTTGCGTCGTTAGATGGAATGCTTCTATATTCGTTTTGCAGCTTGATATTATTGAGTTGTAGCCCCTGAAGCTACATTCTGTTTGCCAATTAGTAAAATTTGACAACATTCATTGTGTTAGGAAAATTTTCGTCAAAGTTGTCTATGCTTCAATTGAAGGGGAATGATCAGCTATGCGACAATGTGCATGTTACCTCAATCAATTACAAACAGCGAGGCAGGTCAAGTCCCGGTATTTGTTTTGTTTAATAATTGACTGAGTTGAACCATTTGTACTATGAAGATCGCAATAGAATATGCATTTAAAAACTCAAATGGTTGTAAAGAACTAAGGGAATTTAAATGTAACAACATATGCTAAAGTGTAGAAGCTTGAAAAGATACTTTATATATCTCAAAGTTTACGATATGGACAGAAGAATTGAAAAAAATGCTTCCATTAACACAAGTCATTCTAATTGTTAGGTCGTTGTGTAAAACAATTTCCTTTAAAAAATATACACCTTTTCTCTTTGGTGGAGGGTAGGCAGACAGAAACTACATTATATTGAAAGCTTACTATCTACACCAAGTCAGTATTATAATTCACATAGTTAGCTAGAATGAATTATCTGACAGATATTTTTATTAAGAAAAGGCTACGAAATACAACAACAGCTAGCATGACCAGGGTTAAAGTACGGTTTCTAACTTTGATTAAGTAAGAAAAATTGTAATTGAGATACGCTAGCCATTGATTGTCAATATATTTTGAATCGTATTTAGCGTCACTCATTACTATATATTTGGTTAAGATGCACTCCTGAGAGAAGTCTTTTTATAGCAGTTGTTTTTTATTGATTGTTTCTCTTGTTATAAGTATTTGATCACGCAATGGTAAGTCAATTGATGTCGTACATGTGATTTGTCACAAATTGATACAGCGATTTAAGAGTTCAAACGAACATCACTGCAAATATCAAAAGGAACAACAACTGTTATTTTTATTTTGAGAAGAATCTCGTTTTTGAGTAAAAAAATATGTCTACTTGTAATGAATGATAAGGAATAAATCAGTGACTATTAGATGACATCATGGTACTTATTTTCAAGTGATTTTGTGATGTTTTTAACAAATATATGACGGATTAAAATTTAGTGATAAACAATTCTGAAGATGCAAGATTTGCTATTAAAATCCTGGCAAATGCTTAGCATTGGCTTGTAACACGGTACGTGATGTATGGAATCTTTTAGCGTATGCAGTTTGTTATTTTTTTTATATATTTTGTTAGGGATGGCAATGCTTCGTGGCATATCGTCATAAAAAGTTTGTATCTACGACGTGTTTAATAAAAAATGTAAATAACATATACTTTTGATGTTTCCATTTAATGAAACAATTGCATTCACTATCAAATTTGTGTGTAGTAAACAAATCTGCCGATTAGAAACTGTTGCTGTTGAAAGTTTTCTTTCGGTGAAGGCAAAAAGTGTAAAAATGTTCAAGGAGTATTCAATAAACATATACAATAAAGACTTGATACACCATTAGCAAAAGAAGAACAAGAAGAAAAAAAAAAAAACAGAACACAACAAAATGTCTTCTCAACTTTTAAAAAAAGGCATTGCTTTTTTTTTCATCTTCAATTACTACGTAACCGTACCGTGAACACACCCATGCATATTTGACAACTTTTTACCGTGTCTGATATTTCAAATGGTCACATTGAATAGTAGCAATTTCAAGTATATGTTCTTAATTATCTAAATTCCTCTGCTAACATTTCATTAAACTGCAACTTGTCATCTTTTCATAATGTGAATGTCATTTCCCCCAGATGTTGACAATAAATGAAATCGGACATGTTTTTAAGACCAATTGAAAACTAATCCATAAAGTAACATATAATGGTAGATCCATTTTGTATTTAGTAAGATTTTGAAAACCTTGTCAAATGATATTTGTTCAAGTTTGATGAAAAATAATTTACACATTGCGATCGCAATAGATAAACACAATAGACTCTGGTACCTTTAAACACTTTTGACACTATCACAAACTGTTGATTAGTGCTGTAATTATTTTACAGAGTGACAGGACTAAGCTGTAACAGATATATTTTATTTAAAAGAAAAACTAAAACTTAATTGGAAAGCCTTAAATGTAGATTGGACTTTTTCATTATACTTTGGACATGTTTGTATTGATAAAAAAAAGAATTACCTGACCACAAATAAAATGCTGTCTGTTACGTATTGTGTTTATGATGGTGATTGTTGTATCTGTATTATAGATACAATGAATAAGCGTTGATTCTTGAAAAAGAAACCATGAGCCCGTAGGGTCATCATTAAATGGTGAGTCCATTTGAGCGACAGATTTAGGAATTAAAGCGTTGATTCTAGAAAAAGAATCCACGGTAAATGAATAGGCTGACGTCACGACAATGGTTTAATGTAAACGTTCCAACGTATTTTTCTAAAATTGTCTTAAAAATGTGTAATCATGAAAAATAATTTTTGCTACAGAAAAATGAAATAAAAGGGAACTTGGTATTACAAATACCCTTTGAAATCTCTGATAAGCTACGTGCATAACACGTCAACCCTTACGTTGATGTTAAACATGCTAAGGGTCTTCGTTAATGTTTTGATTTTATGTTCAAGGATACCACACTTATCGGTTGGTTCTTCTTTGCAACAAACGTTTGCAGTAACGTGTCCGAAATCTCTCATATAACATAAAATATTATATGGCATTGTTATAGATACTAAAAATTGTACATTGGATAAACACTGTGCGGGACAGATTTGCAATTCCAGAATTGGCAAATCTGACTTTGTTGTTTTACAAGATATCAACAATATTTTTTGGTCAGGTGAAAGTTAATCTAAAAAAATAAATTTCCCCATATGTCCCTACATGTCACTGTTGTCACTACAGCTGATTAAAAGTACTTTTCCCATGGGAATTTTAAATTTCCCATCGGAACATAAGCTACGTGCTTGGAAAGTTCCCATGGGAACATAAGTAAATAGTTTGTTCCCATGGGAATTTAACTTTTCCTATGGTAACAATTTATATTCCCATGGGAACAATTTTTCTTCCCGTTGGAACAATTTTTCTTCCCTTGGGAACATTTATTCTTCCTATGGGAACATTTCTTTCTTCCTATGGGAACAATTTCTCTTCCCATTGGAACATATATGTTACGACGGGAACATTTTTTTTCATTTTGACTGGTTTGTCTCCTAGAAGAATTGAAATGTGTTGAAAATACAGGATTTATGTTAATTTATTGCAAAAAACAGGTTTTCTACAAAATATCAATATGGTTTCGTATCTAAAGTTGCAATCAACATGCAACTTCCATAAAACTCAGATTATTCAGTAAAATATGAAGCAATGATAAGTAAGTTTTTAAATTTAGTTTTACGTATGTGTTGTAAAACACAATATTTTTTTGCAATATTTATGTACACTTTGATTCTTTCGTTTTAATACCGTAAATTTTATTCAATTGTTACATAAAAATAAATAACCTTTTAAATGCTGACTACATCATAAGAACTCTATGTAATAAATGCTTTATTGTGTCATGGAAGGATTTCAAATATATTATTTTCCTTGACCTGTATACGAATTCCTATCAAAACCTCTGACAAATAATATGTCACCAACATTATTTGGAAATGAATATGAATAAGAGGAGATAAAGGTACAAATCAACGAGACCGCAATCCAACAAGACAAAATAATTGATGTAGTTATTCTTAAAAAAAAACCAACACCAATAGCTTAAATAGAGACATTGACAAAACTACCATCAACATTTTTCAATATCAGAGAATGTAAAGGACTTGATATTTATAGCAATAAAAATGTTTAAACAAAAACAGTTTCATCTTAACTCGCAATATGAGAAACAGCAATGACTGTATTTTTCTCTTTTTTGTTCATCTTCCTGGTGATATACAATGAAACTCTTAGTTTTCTCCTATTATTGTCAATAATAAAATTACAACAAATTGTAAGTTCTAAAATAAACCAAATACTTCCACGTGTGTAGTTGGTGGTTGTCTGTCATTTTTTTTTCGTAAATTGTATTTTATAGATTATTTCGTTAGTTTTCGAGTTTGCATTGTTTCACGTGTTTCATGTCGGAGCCTTTTGTTATCATTTGAAATCTGGTAGATAGTTGCTTCATTTGCAGTCATACTACATATGTCCTTATTTTTCATATTAGCATGTTTGGATAGAGATTAAATGAATTCGAACCATACAAAGGATATATATTTATTGGTGCCATGAAGGTAGTCAATAAGTCCTTTTGATATTCTTTTTTTTCCCTAGCAAAAATGTATAATTATTGATGGTTTACTACAAATGTTTTCAATATGTAAAAGTTGAAGAAGTTTTTTTTTTTTAGATCTTTGCCAAAAAATTATCTAGAAACTAATTTGTGACTTCTTGTCCTTCAATATTTTTTTTTGTGACTTTCTGTCCTACCTTCGTATTGATGAATATAGGAGGAAAAGTCACAGGAGATAAAGTTACAATAATATTTTTATCATTTTGTTGAATAATTTTTTACCTTGTATTTTTACTTTCTTTTGTTTTAAGATTTTCTATTAAAAAATCATTAAAATGTTAAAAAAAAGATGAATTGTATATAACTTTTTTCTATTATGGAACTTATTGGAAAATTGATGAAACAATGTTTAAACAACTTTTTTTCCGTTGCGTAGAAATAACACACTTTGTTTTTTATACAAAATGCAAGACCCACAAAACAAAAAAAAAAAACAAAAGAACACTTGAACATGCTGAAATAATATATTTATGTACAACCTGTATACACATGCGGGTGTCTTCCTCCTATTCCCACTTTTTAAAAATCACTATTCCTTCTATTCCCACATGCAAATAACAATAGATGTTTTGATAAATAATTTGTTTTTATAACAATCAAGGTCAATTAAAAAATCACCTAAGATTTACCTGTCTTTTTTAAAAGAAAACATATTTCTTACACTGTTTAAGTATAATATTATTAAAAAAAAAAATGTCAATGTACTGTTTATTTGTAATATGTTTTTTCTTCTTCAAAGAATTATTTAGATATAAAGAATAAGTCAGATAAATAGAAGTAAGATTAAAAAAACATTGAATTTGTAAACTTAAAAAATTGTCATCCGAACAAATAAATTGATGATAGATAATATTACAACAAATTTCCCATCTTGCAAGATTTCCATGTACAACGAACGCAAGAAGAACCTACCAGTTTTACCAAAAACTGTTGATGAAATCAACAAAGATGGCATTTGGGCACGTACTACCAAAGGTGACCCATTCCTGTCTGAGCCTATTCTTCCAACTTTACACATTTCACGCAATGGTTGACAGAGCAATGTATCCACTGGTACACAGTATTCTTCCAGCCAAGAGCGAACTAGTATACACAAGGTTCCTGACTTAACTCAAAGATGTATGCCACCAACACCAACTACAACTTCAGCCTACCACTATCTTCCTGGACTATGAAGTCGCCATCCGAAATGCAGTCTATTCTGTATTTCCTGGCATCAACGCAAAAGGCTGTTTTCTCCACTACACACAATGCATATGGAGAAAAACACAAGAAACAGGGATTCAGGTTCCATACAAGGAAGACAACAACATTCATCAACTAGTACGCCGTACTGCTGTCCTTCCACTTGTACCTACTGCTGAGGTCGAAGATGTGTGGTTTAATTCCCTAACCGACATAGATCAGATTGATACTAACATCAACTACACGCCCTTTACAGACTATGTAACAACATACTGGGTCGAATAGAACAGTCACCTTTGGGACCATTATACAACAAAGGGACAAAGGACTACACATCATCTAGAGGGATGGCACAGCAAGCTGAAGAAACATGTCCAGCACCCACATCCAAACAATTTTAAACTCATTAAACTACTGAAACATGCGGAAGCTTTCAACGCCCTCACCATGATCCAGTATGCAGCCAGTGGGAAGAGAGTGGCCCAAAAACGAAAGTATGTCGAAATCAACAACATATTAGAAGAGCATAAGGTTAGACACCGCAACCAGGAAATCAAAACAGTACAGTTTGGTGATGCAGCCTCCCACCTTCTTCACGTTGAATAGATTAATAAACTTTAATAGACTTATATGTACAGTGAATTTCTAATGTGTGTGCTACAATGTGTGATTTGTTTTAGTGCTGTTAACTTGTATTGTTAGTTTCATATTATAATGCTTGCTTGAATCTACTGTTGAATTTGTGTTATAAAAGAAATAAAATAATTTACTTATATTTGTTTCCATTTCTTTCATATTTATTTTAATTAAAAACACAGAATTCATACACATACAAAAATAACCTATTACCCATCAAAAAAAAAAACACTTATCAATTAAAAGTTGATTAAACAATGTTTATACAGTATAATCCTTTGTTTGAAAAAGTTTCCCCCTATTCCCACATGAAATATTTCTTTTTCTTACCAGATTTATAAAAAGTGGGAATAGGAGGAATGAACCCACATGCGTAATAAACGGGTTCTGGTTGAATGAACATAAATTTCAATCGATTACACACAGATGACAATCAATAGAGTGTGGCACGTGTCGACAAAACATCAAATAACTTCGTTATTACTAAAGATATGATTATATAATTTAGAATTATTCATTTATTCATATTAACATAGTCTACTGCTATATTCCATGTCCTTTGTGCCAACTATATCATCCCATCAAGTCCCTAGTGCGAAATTCTGTTTTAGAGCACATATTTGCGGTATTTCTACGGACTTCTTTATTTCAACATTTTGGTTCCTTCCGTATTATATTCTGTACAGGCAGTTTAAAGGAATTATTGCCAGAGGTATTGCGAGGTGACACTTTCAGGTTTTCATGCGATTTCCTGTCGGAATTAAAAACTCTTATTGCACGTAATGCAGGTTCATGCCTCGCTTTACTGCTAAGCGTATAGGTCAGTGTAAACGGCCGGTAATTTGGAACTTTACATTTAAAAATTATCAGGTATAGTATACATCATGTGTTACAGTACATT